AAAAAATGGGTCGCCAATTTAGATTCGCAAACTAGAAGAGACTCGCCCACGCCGAAAGCAATACAATCCGGGAATAAAGCCTGGGTCTCTGATGAGAACTCAGTCAATCGATTTATCGATAGGCATATAGAGCACTGCGCAGCCACCACAGGACTGGTGTCGATTATGCTTGATTGGCCCTTAATCCGTATAGCCGCCTTTTGTTTCGTTGTTAAGTTTATTTCTGACGATGGACTCCAGTGAACGTTCGAAAGGTCACCTAAATAACGTCATGATTTCTGCGAAAGGACAGCCTACCTCTTTTTTAGGCAAGTAGATATTAATGTGGAACGAAAGCTTAACAACGTCAACATAAGCACTGATTTGTCCAAAATCAAAGTAGGTTATTTTTTGGCATGTTGGCCTAGATGGTGTCAAGAAATTACGTTGAGAATTAGGCACGCTTTGCATGGAGCTAGCTGCAACGTTTTGCTTCCCACAACAACCCACAATGACACTTTAGATCGCGACTAGGAAGAGTATTTCAGGGCACTATCTGCAAGTTTATATGATGAAAAACGGTTGCCCTAATAACAGATATCATGATTCCCCTTATCTCCTAGTTTCATGTTCGGGTGGTGATTAAAGTACTAAATTATTTTAACGTTCCCTTCTTGCTTTCTGTTGAAAAGGTCATCGTCAAGGTCAGGCGCAGGTCGAGGAAATCAAATGTGGATAAGCCTGTCATCCATAATCGGAGGCACAACTGACACACTACCCGATCACTTTGGCATGTCTTTGACCCTAAAAGTGCGTTAGAGATGCCGTTAATGTCAATCCAGCCAACGCAGTGGCAAATGTACTTCCTCGTGCGACCCTACAAATCCGAGGTGGGTTACGGTTACGCAGGGAGGCGATATGGTGTGCCCTTCGTTTTCCCCCCTTGGCGTTAATTATCTCCCTTATGGGACTAGGACCGACAGCTGCCCGCTTATCCGCAGCGCATTTACGGCCAATGCGCGTAAATGGACTTATTTCGGTGCACGTTTTGATGATAATAGCGTTGTGGGTGCCATTACCAAGTGGCCCGAGTAATGCAAAATGGTGGGAAATACGGCCTATGTAAACGCGTGCATGTTTTACGATTCGGCTGAGGTCGCACGGGAGACCAGCATGTATGTAACATCCAATCTAAGAAATAACTCTATTGATATAATTATTTAGTACACAAATTTCATTTAGGTAAATCTGTTTGCTGAAGCAGAAAGGTTTCATTTAGGTTCTAAGGAGGAAGTTGTTTACTCCTGCGTTTCAGTAGTCTTCTACGGTCAATTATCAGTTGCGATTCTTTAATTCCAAAAAGAAAGTTTTAGTAAAATGCCAACAATATATTTTCCCACTTTGCTCTTACTGCAATTAAACCTGCGACTACTGCTACTACTACATGTGAAACAAACTTCTGTCTTAACGAGCCAAGTTTTACCAGAAAAATGACGTACCCGCAGAATCCAATCTCCGGCTTGGAGTTGCGGATTGGAAGACGACGCGTCGGCTTTGGCGACGAGCACCTGATGGACTAGTCTATTTAGTCCATCAAAGGAGGTTTTACCTGGTAGGAAAACGGGCTTGCAAATTTTAATTCTCAATTTGCTGCCAAACCCAACTTGCCTGCCTATTTGCTTGAGAGGAGCTGTCATGTGGATTTGGTCTCACTTCCAATGAGAATAGAAAAAAGTACTATTGTTATTTTTTCTAATTAGCTTTGAAAAGAAGAAGACCTTCAACGAGATAACGAAGCCCGAAACGCTGCGGTTTCTTTCAGCTTTGATAATACGCAAGATGAATTGTTGCATTTGTCACCTACTTTAGATCGCGACTAGGAAGAGTATTTCAGGACCCTATCTGCAAGTTTATATGATGAAAAACGGTTGCCCTAATAACAACCTCTGTAGTCATAATCATCTTATGTGTAATCTACAACATTAAATTAACTGGAATGAAGGAGGTAAGATCGCTGGAACAAGATTTGCTATCGTTTAAGGTTTCAGGTTGACGTTTGAATCTACCTGCTTAGAAAAATTGAGCAATCGTCTTCCGATAAAGTGTCTTTAAAAACTCTACCAGTGACAATTTTGGAATCGGGTAAGGACCACTTATAATTATGCCAAAAATTAA